TACTAACACCTGGACGTCGGCTTGCGGGGATGCGGGCGGCGGTTTGCGGGGCCGAGGAGGGCGGCTTGCGGCGGTGTCCAATTGATTATCTCTGAACCGCGGCGCTAGGCGTTTGCGTACCGCGGCACCAGCGGAGCAGCCCCCCCGACGGAGGGTGCCGCCCTAGGCAAACGCCTAGTTTGCCTCGCGGTAAATACGCCCCTGATGGGGCTTGGTCTGCTGCGCTTGTTGCATGGGTGTGTGGCTGCAGGGCAGATAGGTATCTGCACCAGTACTAGAACCAAGTGAATAGAAGCTGGCCCTGGCATTCCTATGTCCCCCGCAGGACAGTATAAACCAAGGGTGGGAAACCTTAGAACTCCAGCTGTTGTGCAACTACAAGTCAGATGAGGTCACAGGCAAGACTCCCAGAGGCAGAATGAGATTTGTAGTTTTATCACAGCTGGAGAGTTGAGGTTGCCAACCTCTCGTATCACAATACAGGACATGGTGAGAAGAGATTAAAGCAAACAGAAAGCCTACTCATTTTTGGGGTATGTGTTGGAATGAGACATATAAATACCTTCTGTTTTAATAAGGCTTTACTGTGCTACACACTGATTAGATCCTAATCCATACAAGCCATGGTTCCCATACACTACACTGATGATGGCCAAGTAGCCTGAACCTTTGTTTAACCACTTCAAGACCAGGTGTTTAGACCCCCTTCCTGGCCAGGCCATTTTTCAGTGTAATACTACAAGCTGCATCTGATTACCTGCTTTCAAATTAACTCTGACATCGCTAAAACAAATATATACATATCCCACAAGACAATTTCTTATTTTTATTTCCACTTCACCTTTGGATGCAGTTTCAAGTTTGGGTCCTTCTTGCTTGGAATCGGTTTTATTCTGTGCAATCTTATGAGTTGCTTTCTTTGCCTCAGTCCTTATGGGTCCCCTTCCCCTCTTGTTTCTCTTTTTCCTCCTCCCTCTTCCAGTCTTATGGGACAAATCAGCAACCTGACTCCAAACTGCATGTTTTCCTTTTTCTAGGTGTTTTTTTGGTTCATTAGATGGAACCTCAACGTCTTCTGCTGCAATGTTCCCTTCGTTTTGTATCTTTGATGTTTCCTGGCCATCTGCCCATGTTCTGCCTTTCCTGGTCAGTGAAGATTCTCTTGAATTACAGACTTCTTGTAGTGTGTCCAGTGTCTGTTTATCTTCTTTAGGTGACTGTTTTGTAAAGTCCAGCTGGGATTCACTTTGACAACTACCTATAGAAATGGTACTATTATTTGTAGATGTTTCTGTTTGGTGTTCTCCAGATAGTTGCAAGCTGTCTCCAGATTCAATTCTTTGGCAATCAGATATATGTCCAGTGCCTTCTATAGAAACCAATTTCTCTTTTTCCTTAAGGCTATCAACCTGTAAAGAGCATTCTTTAAGAGTCTCTGATAAATTGTCTTCTTCCTGAGAACCCGTTCTGCTGACAGATCTCTCAGGAACCCAGCAAGGTGCCCTGTTTGCCTCTGAACAGTCTTTATCATCCCATCGCTGTCTCTCAGAAGAACCCCAAACCTGTTTTTCAGGAATTATGTCTCTCTCTTGTCTCTGAAGGAGATCCAAACCTTTTCTCCATTCAGCCAACACATCATTCTCATTGGAATAACTTGTTGTCTCAACATCCCAGTAATTCTGACACTCTGCTGCAGACTTTGTATGGTCTCCAGCTTCTCCTGTGCAAAATCTGTCTTCCCATATCTCTTTAGATCTTCCCTTTAAAGTGCTCAAAGAACCTACCTTTCCTGGCTTCTTCTGATGCAACCATGCCTGGTGTCCTTTGTTTTTACCTTTTCTATTTGGAGCAGTCTTAGCTCGTGATGCCCATGTGTCTCTGAGACTCTCAACTTTGCCTACTAATTCTGCATGTGGTGGGCTGAGTTCCACATACTCTCCCTCTACCGAGTCTGTCACTGAGCCAGAGAGAGAACCCAGCACGGGTGAGATAGCACCTTCCCTCCAGCTAACAGTCTCATTTTGATTATTTGAAAATGACAATTGAGCACCAATTTTGGGGTCCACCAAATCTCCTATGGCAATCCCTCCATCACCGGGGCTTCGGTATTCTAGAGGTGGCATTAGAGGCCCTGGAGTGCATCTCCTTCCCACAATGAAACCTTCTTTGTGAATGAAACGAGGATAAATTATTTCAGACCATGGTATTCGAAGGACTTTTTCCTCCACGGCTGCTAGACAGTTCTCAAGACGTGCTGTGCTACGGTCTTTATTGATACTGTTCAGCCATTCAGCAGAGAAGAGAAATGAATGAGAAGATTCAGGCACCACAATCTCCTGAACACCACTTTCATCTTGAGAAAGGCACTTCAGTACAAGTCTTGGAGAGCATTCCAAGTATGGCACCACTTGCAAGTAAAAATCCCCATTTTTTAGAAAGTGCCAAGGGAGGGAAGACAGTTGAATGAGGATCTTCTCGCCAAGGCTAAGCGGCCAGCCTTCATGAAAGAAGAGAAACCCACTGTACTGAGACTGGAAAGAAAAATCAATATTGTCAGGGATAAAGATAAACAGAAATGAGATGTAGAAGAAGTAGAATACAGTAATAAAAGATGACAGTACCATGACATGCAGCAGTGTAACAATTTTAAAGCAATTTATAGTGCAGATTATTTTCTATGTAGCCAGCTTGAAAAGCAAACACTTAAATTAAAAGTAATTAGATTATTATAAAGGCACAATGTAGTTAGTGTAAGAGTGATATGAAGTATACATTAATAAACAAATGAGTGAAATCTAAAGTGCATTAACACATAAATGCTTCCAGCTAAACAGGGATCCTTGTTGTCAGGGCTGTTAAAACCATGTGAAAGGATCACACTGGTTCCCAATTATCTTTATAACACAAAATTCAAGCAAAAGAAAAGTAACATTTTTGAGTTCTGGGAGGAAATGATTAAAGTTCAACAAATACCAGAGCTTTAATAATAATTCTGGCTGCCCGAATTTTTTTAAACTTATTTACAGGATGAAATTGTTACATCTTGAAATATGTGACTGAAAAAAGGATCTCTTTATTGTTGGAATTCTAAGTGTCAGCTTATTTCTAACCTTACAAATTCAGGCATCATGGTGGGCCAACATCCCTGATAGGCCTAGGGCAAATGCCCTTTTGGCCCATTTAAAGAAAAAAGGGATGACTGTTATGTTTTTTAGCCCTCGTTCACACCTGAACGCTTTGTAGCGCGTTCTACGCTCGACGAACGCTCTACAAAACGCTCAAAAATATAAATCCCATTGTATTCAATGGTCTCGTTCCCACCTTGGCGTATTTCCACCCGTCCCTAACGCGCTACAAAACGGCCCAAGCCTGAAAAGGTACATGTACTACTTTGGGCCGTTTTGTTGCACGTTTCCATTGGGATACAGCCAAGTAGCCTTCAGAAACGCGCGTTTGTCGTGCAACTTTTTTACCGCGAATCGCGGTAAAAAAAAAACGCACGCCGGTCGCGCGACAGACGCGCATATGCAATACGCCTAGGTGTGAACGAGACCTAAACATCTAAACTATATGAACTATTGCTTCATATTTGTGTGTTCAGAAGCTTTAATAAAGTAAATTTGTATCAGGCTGCAGTGATTTATAAACTGCCAACATCCATAACTGAACATGGAAGTACTAGGTTTTTCTTAGGGCTTTGGTGGGTGAAGAGGACAGTAGAACAGCCTGTGAAAGGCAAGAACCAGCAGCAGAGGGATCCTGTTATGCAGTGAACCTACTACATTGTCCGAAACAGGCAAGTGTTGACCACTATGACCAACAGCCTTCTGGTGTCATACTGACGAAGTTCTCTGGTGTTCTCTACTTTTCTAGAAAGTTCGCTGAAACTTTTTTTTCTAGGTCTGCACAGAGTTAAGAAGAGGTGGAAACACCCATTGAGGAAATTCACATTCACTATTTGTCCTTTTTGTCACACAGACAAAAAGTGTGGGCAAATTCCAAATTTTATAGTTGACACCAAAACAAAAGATGATGGGAATCCTTTCGATGCAGAAACCTGTTGCAGTGACAGTTGTCAAGGATGGAGTTTTCCATGTCTTAGGAACAGAATATGAGGGGATATCTTCATAGGAACACAGACAACAATAAAATAATGATCCAGAGTTTTATCTGAAACATAAAAAAAGTTTCCTCTGGAATTCCACTCTAATGTATACTGGTAGCCTCTGTATGTCACCAGTTTATATAATGAGGCTTTAAGACAACCTTGCCAAACTTTATGACCATTCAGAAGACATGTAGACAGACTTTTCATGCCACTCAAATTATATTGATAACGATCTGGTTAGAGAGCCAAGGACAGCCAATAAAAACTGGACATTTATTGCTGTTAAATGTTGCTTGTATGGACATCTTAACACTACAAAACCAATCAGCATTCAACAAATGTGAGTTTTCAGTTAATTACTGTAGAGTGAAGTGAGACTTACACATGCCTGATGCTGTACATTTTGCAGAATTCTCTTGGCTGGTATAAGAAATTCAAGGGTATATCTGAGAGGATCCTCACGATAAGTCCTCTCTAGTACAGAGAACACTTGGGTCAGGAGAGTTGGAGCTGTTACTTCAAAGGGAGGGTACAGGGATGACAGAGTGCTCTGTAGGCAATCCTCCACTGACTGAGGGGTCTGAAAAACATAAAAGTTTCACCCATCACCTTTTATACATACCAAAAAGATACATGTACCAAATACACATAATGCATAAACGTCCACATTATTACAGTCAGGGACGCAAAGAGCTATTCAACATGAAAAGAAGATTTCCTTACAGATTCCTTTGGAAGCAAAAACACAGTTTACAGCTGGCAATACACCTATAGATTATCTGCAGATTTTCTGTGGTCAGATGGAAAAAGTGCAACAGATTCCTCCATCTACGCAAAACTGTGTGGATGGAGGAATCTCCCACTAGGCCAAGCTCCAGTATCTTGCTAGTCAGCCTCGCTGGCTCTCAAAATACCTGAACAATGCCTGCATCCAATCAAATTGTTCAGATATTTTGACAGCCAGCGGGGCCAACTAGCAAGATAGATACTGAAGCTTTATGGATACAGAAGCCACAGGTCCCAGAACTGCACCAAGTGCTGCAAACTGCACATCATGAGACAGAGGTGAACCTAGTATGCCAACCTTTGAGCTGTACCTAAACACCAATAATGATTTTGCCTCTAGTATTTCTAGAGAATTTTCCCCATATGTAGACACCTTATAAAAGCCTCTCTCCACACAGTGCAGCAAAATGGAGGAGTTTCTGAAGCTTCAGATTATTCCTGCAATGCAGCTGCAGATAAATAGTGGCTTATCTAATAAGTGCAATGGCAATCAATATTAAATATAAAAGAATTGACTTAAGCTGGCCATACTCTGGAAGATTTTTGAACAAATGTTCATACGAAAAATCTCATCAGAACATGCGATAATGCCATCACTTGACAAATGTAGTTTGAAATGTTGTCTGGTTTTAGTATTCAGTTTTAGAATGAATGGACTTTCCCAAATGAATATCACATTCACTGTTAGAGTTTTGTTTCTTCAAGAAAAATGTTCCATCCTGCTCCTTTGATTTTTTTCTTCACTGCAGTTGAAAATGGTCGATGGTGACCCCCATTAACTATTAAAGAATCGAACAAATGTTCTGTTTTGAACAACCATTCTACTAGTGTATGGCCAGTTTTAGTTTCCGGATGACCCTGCTGCTGCTTACAAGGGAGCTTTGTCATACCTCCCAACTGTCCCTCATTGGGGGGACTGTCCCTCTTTTGGAACCAAATCCCTCTGTCCCTCTTAAATGTCCCTCTTTTGAAACCAAATTCCTCTGTCCCTCTTAGATGTCCCTCTTTTGAAACCAAATCCCTCTGTCCCTTTTCCTGCTCAGATATACTTTTTTATACAGGATTATTTCACAGGATTTATATAATGCCAACAATTGGCACAGTGCTTTACAATATAAAGGGAGACAGCACAGTTACTATACAATTCAATACAAGATGGTTAGGAGGGCCCTCTAATTCAATAAAAAAATATAATCTATAACTTTTAAAAATGTTATACTGCACTATTGCACCTTTCATTCAGTATCTAAATTATTGAATTTGTTATTTTAAATGATATAAAAGAAAATAGGTGATGAAAAAAAGCACCTGTGGGTTTAACCAATCAGTTTTTGTATATCTGTTTTTTGCGATCACTGTAACCTGGGGTTTCCTCACGTAATTAGTACTATAACGTGTCCCTCTGTCTGATCTCAGAAAGTTGGGAGGTATGCTTTGGCTGTGCAGACCAGGAGCCATGTAGCACAGGAACTCACAGACAAGCCAAGTGGAAAACCTTTTCTGTATATGTTTGCCACTAATGAGTCACATCTACTGGCCGATGCTTTGCTTGACAAAAATAAGTGGAGGTATCTGCCCAGAGCTGTAACAATAGTTCAGCGAACAGCCACTCCTCTACTTACCCGATGATAATAGTTAACAAGTTAATTCCGCTAAATTCTGTCTGAAACTAATGCACTACTAAAAAATAAAAGGATTTTAATATTAGATTTTCTTACATTTGTCAAAAAGACAATTCCAGTCTTGTATAGCATACAGACACAGCCACTTGTGCGCAGAAGAATGGCAGCTCCTATAGCAATAGCAATGTAGGACTGGCTTAGCTGGCTGCCAAGTCAGCTGACACAGCTGATACTGGATACAGAAAACATTCTCTTGCCTGCAAATGCTATAAAGTTTCTTAGCTGTGCTGGTAGAGGAAGGCAACCAGCTAAACAAAAGTGCATGCTTAACCCGAAGTAACATTAATAGGATTGAATCTAAATCTGGAGCAATAAAAACTAATTTGTGTTCCAGAGTAGTACAGTTATGGCAATGCCTGGGGTAAAACTAGAACAGTACAACTTGAACGCAGTGTAATAGAATGAGAAGAGATGATTCTTGGAAGCGCAGATGTAATATGACCTATTTTACCAGTACAGTACATAGAGTTTTTTGCTCAGCCCTTTTTTAGGCACTTATTTATAACAAAAATGGAGGACAGAAAGACATTTTCATTTTTTAGATAAGTTTAACATATGGATGCTGAGGGCAGTACAAACTCTTTAAAGCTGAACTCCAGCTATGCATGTTTTTGCATACTTACTTTGCTCAAGCTAGGTCCAATGTAAATATATATATTTATACCTTAATGGACCATGGGAATCCTGTAAAGTAGCCAGAGATACTACAACAATCTTCCGGGTCCTGTATGGTGCTGTGATAAGCTGGTTACCCTCTGCTTGCTCAGCACATTGGCCACTCAGAGAACACCTACAGGGTTATTCACAAAAGGGTGAAGAGTTTGGAGAAGGCAGGAGAAGTGACCATCTAGGACAACATAGCTGAACTGGAAAGTGAGCTGAATTGGAGAATTTTTCCAAATCAGCTATTTTGGCCTAGATTGTTCACTTCTCCTGTCTTCTCCAAACTCTTCACCCTTTTGTGAATAACCCCCCTAGTGTTTTTTTAATCAATCAATACAAGGAGTTCTCTGATTGGAAAAGGGGCAGATAGTGACATCACCACCCTTTGTCCAATCAGAGAATGGCTTGCATTATTTGATAAAAATACTAGGTTTTCTAGCTCTGGGTACTACAGTGCTATACAGGATGCCCGTAGGATGATTAGGTATGACATATGCATATTTACATTTGGCCAAGCTGGACAAATGTAAGGTCCCTTTCATGTGGCAGATCAGGAGGGGACCCGTGCACGGATTCCCTCCTGATCGGAGCAGTATGGATCAGATGTCACCATTGTGACATCTGTGTCCATCCAGTTTGTTCCTCCATAAAATCGAAAACTGACGCACCCATGTTGGTCTATGGGGAGCCGGATGACATGTGTCTGTTTACATCAGGTTACCCCCGATCTAAAACGATCAGGTACGGCGAAAAGAAACACTGTCCGGAGTTGGGGATAACCGTGCATCCGTCTGCCCATGGACTAGCATTGGGCATCGGGTCCGCCTGAAAAACTGTCAGGCGGACCCTATCGGACCGCACATGTGAAAGGGGCCTAAGTATGCATACTAATGCATGCCTGGAGTTCAGCTTTAAAAAGAAACTGTAATGGTTTGGGATAGATTTTACTTTGTTTACCTAAAGTACTTTTATTTTCTTAAACTGATGCTTTATATCTGTTTTCTAATATACAAACAATCTTTGTTTTACAAATAAACATGTATTACATAACATGGAGCCAAAGAGCACTATGCACTCTGTGTACTTTTAGGCCTCGTTCACACCAGATGCAGTGTGTTTCGGCCCAATTCTGGCCAGAACGCACTGCATCACATTGAGGCCGGCTCACTTTTTTGTGGGGCAGGAGGGGGCATGGCGGGCCATTGAAGTTAATGGCACCGTAGCAACGCCCTCCGGCCGCAATGCGATCGGCTGCGCGGGATCGCAAGGCACATTATGCCTGCAGTCCGGTCCGGTGCAATCAAAATAGTGCTTGCAGGTACAGGTACATATTGCGCAAAGTGTGGGCGATCACACTGCAGGGGGGGCGTACCGGCGGTGCCATTGTCATGAATGTCAGCCCCACGCCCCCTTCTGCCCCTGAACGCAGGAAGCCGGCCAGGATGCACTCCAGTGCGTTCCAGGAGTGAATCGTGCTGGAAAGCACCAGAGCTGGTGTGACAGAGCCTCCAGGGCTTGTTCACACCATGTCCGGACCTTGTCCAGGCCAGAACAGTTTGTTCCCGGACCAAAATAAGCATCCCAATGTATCCCTATGGTATTTCTGGGCTCTGTTTACACCAGCGAAGTCCGTTCCGGACCAGACAAAAAATACTGCTTGTCTCATTTTCTCTGGTCTGAAATGCACTGGAACGCATGGAAATGCAACAAAAACGCATACAAACACATGAAAATGCAATGCACCGCGTTCCAGATTTGGTCCAGACCTTGTCCGGAAAATGGTGTGAACCTGGCCTCAGGGCTTGTTTACACCATGTCTGGAACAGAACAGGTTGTTCCCGAACCAAAAAAAGCATCCCAATGTATCCCCATGGTATTTCTGGGATCTGTTCACACAAGCGCAGTCCGTTCTGGTCCAGACAAAAAAAAATACTACTTGTCTTTATTTCTCTGATCCGGAAATGCATTGGAACAGCATCAAAAATGCATGCAAACGCACTGGACTGCACCTAAAAGCCCGTTTTAGGGCCGGTTCACACCAGCTCCGGTGCGTTCCAGCACGATTCGCTGCTGGAACACACTGGAGTGCTTCCCGGCCAGCTTCCTGGGTTCAGGGGTGGGAGGGGGGTGTGGCGGTGCTTTGAAGTCAATGGCACCGCAGCCATGCCCCCCACCCGCAGTGCAATCGCTCACACCAGAACACGTGGCAAAACAATGCCTGAGTTTCGGTCCAGCGCGACTGCAAAAAAATGCTGCAATTGCACTGGACCGGAACGCAGGCATTGTTTTGCAGCGCGTTCTTGTGCGTGCGACCGCGCTGCGGGCAGGGTGTGTGGCTGCGATGCCATTGACTTTAATGCACCATCATTCCCCCTCCTGCCCCTGAACACAGGAAGCCAGCCGGGATGCGCTCCAATGCGTTCCAGCAGCGGATCGTGCTGGAACGCAC